ATCCCCTATTCCCAATTCCTTCGCCTCCGCCGCATCTGCTCCCAGGATGAGGCATTCCACTCCCGTACATCTCAGTTGTCCTCGTTTTTCAAGGACCGTAACTTCCCCTCCTCGGTGGTCGAGAACGCCCTCAACCGTGTCTCCCACATCTCCCGCACCTCATCCCTCACACCCCGTCCACGCAATAAAAACCAAAAAAGAATCCCCCTCGTCCTCACGTACCACCCCACCAACCTCCGGATCCAACGCATCATCCTCCGACACTTCCGCCATCTGCAATCCGACCCCACCACCAAAGACATCTTTCCCTCCCCACCCTTATCTGCTTTCCGGAGGGACAACTCTCTCCGTGACTCCCTTGTCCGCTCCACACTCCCCTCCAGCTCCACCACACCCGGCACTTTTCCCTGCAACCGCAGGAAGTGCTACACCTGCCCCCATACCTCCTCCCTCACCCCCATCCCAGGCCCCAAGAAGACTTTCCACATCAAGCAGATGTTCACCTGCACATCTGCCAATGTGGTATACTGCATCCGCTGTACCCGGTGTGGCTTCCTCTACATCGGGGAAACCAAGCGGAGACTCGGGGACCGCTTTGCAGAACACTTACGCTCGGTTCGCAACAAACAACTGCACCTCCCAGTCGCGAACCATTTCAACTCCCCCTCCCATTCCTCAGACGACATGTCCATCCTGGGCCTCCTGCAGTGCCACAACGATGCCACCCGAAGGTTGCAGGAACAGCAACTCATATTCCGCTTGGGAACCCTGCAGCCCAATGGTATCAATGTGGATTTCACAAGTTTCAAAATCTCCCCTCCCCCCACCGCATCCCAAAACCAGTCCAACTCGTCCCTGCCTCCCTAACCTGTTCTTCCTCCCACCTATCCCCTCCTCCCACCTCAAGCCGCACCTCCATCTCCTACCGACCAACCTCATCCCGCCCCCTTGACCTGTCCGTCCTCCCTGGACTGACCTATCCCCTTCCTAACTCCCTACCTACACTCACCTTTACTGGCTCCATCCCCGCCTCTTCGACCTGTTTGTTTCCTCTCCACCTATCCTCTCCTCTATCCCTCTTCTATCCGCCTCCCACTCTCTCCCTATTTATTTCGGAACCCCCTTCCCCTCCCCCTTTTCTGATGAAGGGTCTAGGCCCGAAACGTCAGCCTCTCTGCTCCTATGATGCTGCTTGGCCTGCTGTGTTCATCCAGCCCTGCACCTTGTTGTCTTAGCTTCAACAAGTGAATGAGTTTATGCTATTCAGATATTTTAACCTGCATATCAACTAGGAAGGTCAGATCAGCAAAGTGAGATGAGATGGGCAATTCATAGAATATTTCTGGGATAGTTTCTTTAGAATAGAATGTTCTGCAGCTGACCGGAGAACGTGCTGTGGTATTGTGCAACATAAGAATCTGAAACTATTTTAAAATAAAATTAGATAAGGATAATTATGAGGGCATGAAAGCACAGCTTGTTAAAGAACTAGCAAATTAGATTAAAGCACAGGTCAATAGAGATATTGTAGCAGACATTTAAGGGGCTATTTAAGAACATACAGAATATATTCCAAAGTGTCAGGACTCTTGTGGTGCAGTGTTAGCATCTCTACCTCTAGGCCAGAGGTATGTCATAGCATGTCTGAACAGGGTTATTTCCAGAAGACACTTGATAAATTGCCGCAAAAATTAATTTGGAAAATATAAGTTCATGCTGTAAGGGTTGGCACACTAGCATGAATAGAAGATTGCTTTCTATTAGCCAGCCAGTCAGTAAGCATAAATGGGTCTTTTTCAGGTTGGTAAGACGTAATGAGTGGTGTGCCACAGGAATCAGTTCTGGAACCTCAACTGTTTACAAGTTATGTAAATAATTTGGATGAAGGTGTGTAGGTATGGTTGCAAAATTTCAGATGACAGGAAGTTAGATAGGAAAGTAAGTTTTGAAGAGGACATACAGATGCTACAAAAAGAAGATAGATAGATAAAGTGAGTGGGCAAAGATATGGCAAATGAAGCATAATGTGGTGAAATGCAAAATTGCCTATTTTGGCAGGAGGCTTAACAAAGAAGCATCTTATCAAAACAGTGAAGGATTGCAGAGCTCTGAGGTGCAAATGGATCTGGGTGTCCTAGAACATGAATCACAATGTTAGTATATAAATACAGCAAATTCTTAGTAAAGTTAACAATTATCATTTATCATGAGGGATACTGAATACAAAAGTAGGGAGATTATATTTCAATTATGCCCAGAGTTCGTGAGACTATATATGGAGCACTGTGCATCCTTATTTAAGGAAGGATGTCAATGCACTGGAAGCAATTTAGAGAAATTTACCTGGAATAAGAGGGTTGTCTTGCGAGGAAACACTGGATAAACTAGACATGTATCTGCTGGAGATTAGAAGAATAAGAGACAGCTTGATTGAAACAAATAAGTCCTGGGGGGTCATGACTGGGTAGATGTGGAGAGAATGTGTTTACTCTTCAGGAGAATCTAGAACCAGGAGTCACCACTTAAAAATCAGGCATCACCCATTTAAAACAGGAGATTAATTTGTTTCAGAGGGTCATAAGCCTTTGGAACTTTCTGTTCCTGTAAAGGAGATGAAAACAGAGTCCTTAATTATTTTTAAGGCAGAGATAGATAGATACTTAATAATCAAAGTTTTCAGGGCAGACAGGAATGTAGACTTGATATCACAATCAGATCAGCCATGATCTTGTTGAATGATGTAGCAGGCTTGAGGGTCTTGATATTTACTTGTGCTCCATGTTTTCATACCACATAAGAAAATTGGCTGACTGTCCAGAAATGGAGATAAAGAACTTGAGCAAGAGAAGGGAATAATCCAAGATGAACCATAGAAAGATGAGGGAAAGGCAGCAATCAGAAGGAAAGTCAATGAGATTTTCTAGTTCAGATTGACATTGATACAGTCAATGTATGGGGAAAACAGAGGTTAGGGAGTCAACATTTTTTTAAGAAAAGGACTTCTATGACAAAAATCAGGTATACATGGGAGTCCTGCAGGATCTAACAGTGAGACTTTCATCGAATGAACGTGATTGGAATCAAAGGAGTCACTTCAATGAGAGGAAGCTTTACATTCATACAAAGCCTCTCCTGACCTCAGTATACCCAAAAACCCTTTACACAACACAAGATATTAATTGGCTGAATGACTCTTACAATGTAGAACATAGCAGTCAATTTACACACAGCAAGCTCTCACAAGCAGCAATATATCAAAGAGGTAAACGGTTTGCTTTTTCAACTTATGTTGATCTGAGGGATAAATATTGACCAGAACATCACGTATAATGACCCTACTCCTCTTCAGAATAGTGTAATGGCGTTTTTATATCCACCAAACAACAGGAGAAATAGCCTGGATTTAAATATTTCATCCAAAAGATATCAACTCCAACAGTGCAGCGTTTCCTCAATAATCCAACGGAGAACTCATCCAATGAAGCAGACGGCTCGCAGGCGATCCTGTTTTTGGGTGGAGGCCGGGAGGTGTAAAGTAACTGAATATTCAAGACAAAAAAGAGACAGACAGAGCCAGGGAGCTGGAAACCGTGGTGTAGGGTGTCTGAATAGTCACAGACGTCGGTAGGAAGAGATTGGACAAAGGAAGAATTAAGTCAATGGAAAACTAACTTCAAACTTTAAGACTAAAACAGAAAATCTACATTTTTGAGGAGATATTTTAAAAGTGTAGAATTCTGCAATGCATATCTTATACCCTCCTCTAAGCTTCAAGGAAGCTTTAAATCTCGTCCCCCAAAGCAGCCATACTGTAGCAGCAATTGTCCAATCAGCCAACTTAATCAACGTTGTTTCATCTTCGTTATTATACGTACAAACGTAACCATGTTGCCTCTCGTACCTATCAATCCACTTCTCTTCGGTTCTTAACGTTTAGCATCTGAGCTTCACTTCCACCTGCTTTGACGCCTGCCGTAATTCACACTGCCGGATGTGCTGCTGTAAAAATAAACCTTGTCGTGCGATCTCGCTGTTACCATAGAGACGGCCAGAACCCATCGCGCTCGAGCCGGGGCCTGAGCGCGAGCAGCTGAGCTGTACCGCGCCGTGGGATGAGGTCGGTCAGTTACGTGGAGAGAGTGGCGCTGGACTTCAGCGGAAACCTGTTCACACAGGCTATCTGCTTGGGAGACACCGACAACGACGGGGTAGGTGGTGTGTTATGTCCCTGCGTCCATATTTCCAGACGATGGCCACAGCGATTGTTATTATTGTCGATCCCGTTAACACTACAAAAACTATGGTTAATCAACCTGTTCAGCGATATTGTTACACACATCTGGAACAGGTGGGACTTAAAGCACCACAAACAATGCCAGCGACACCCCTCCCCCGTTTAAAAGGAAATATGTCAGCGACAGACTGAAACCCCCCCCCCTCCCCTCTCCCCCTCTCCTCTGTTAACAGGTATTGCACCAAGGACCAGCTGGGTTTTTCTGACAATCAGCAATGGATTCATGGTCATCGTTAGACTCTTAATTCCAGATATTTATTGAATTCAAATTCTACCATCTGCCATGGCGGGATTTGAACCCAGGCCCCCAGAACGTTACCTGGGTCTCTGGATTAACAGTGCAGTGATAACCCCACTAGGCACTTGCCTCCCCAAAGGAAGTATTAAAAGGAACAGTGCCATTGATGGGCCAGACCCATAGCTGTATTTTGTGAAATTGGTCATGAGAGGCTAGATCACTTTTATTTACCAGGGTTAGTTCAGGCATACCTCCACCTGTAGGCTGGATGCATCTATAGGAACTGTACCATTGGGTGGTCTGTGCCACTGGTGAATCTATTTAAAGGAACAGTGCCAGGATGGGACCTCTTCTATTTACAATAATTGTACTGTTTATGAACTGAGGTTCTTTCAAGTGACAGGAGCTGTAGCAGTGACAAATGGGATGTATGGAAACATAATTTATAGAAACTTTTAAAATTGAGAGCCACAATTGGCCAAGAAGCATAGCTTTAAACATTTTTCAAACACACTATCAAAAAAGACCTCAGATTCAGTTCTAATTGAGACTGTCAGCATCTTGGCCTTTATGATGAAGTTCTTTGAAAACAAAGTTTGAACCTAAAGCACAATCTTTGTTGGATGGAATTTAATGACAATAAATTATTCATTGATTATTTTAATTTTCATCCTGATTTTGTTACAGTTGAATGAGCTTGTGGTTGGGGATACCAATGGGAAACTCTATGTCTATAAGAGTGATGACTGCAAGCCATGGCTTACCCGATCTTGTATAGGAATGGTATGTATTAAACCTTTGCTGTTGGATTTTCTTTTTTGTTACTAGAACAGGCTGATTCATTTTAATCTTTTCTTCCCTTTCTACTCATTTAAGTATAAAAAATGTAGAAATTTAGAAGTCTGAAATAAGAAAGATATCTGCATCAATTATTTACTTTACTGATTTTCTTTATGCTAAGCATGGTTGAATTTGCATTATTATCTATAAATTGCAAATTGTCAGGATCAAATTGCAGTCCTGCTCTTATGGGGAGAATAAAGCAGAGGGCAATAATTTGTTCCAGGGTATCTTTACTGACCTCCTGTTCCATGATAAATTTCACATTATTTGAAATATTTGCAGAGAGAAACCAAAGGTTAGGAAGATCAGAAATAGCTATGGATGGATCAAAAGGAGTAAACTTCATTTCTTTTTCCTTTTTGAATACATGGTTCACCTCAGACCTATTATCTCTGAGTGTTATGATTTTATTCCTTTTTTGGTTCTGATGTTTATATTCTTATTTCTTACCATTTTTCAACACAAAAATAACCGGTTTGTTTCTACCTTCCTTATCAAGGGCCCACTCTTTCAGCTAAAGGCTTTGTTTGCTTATGGATGTAAAACATCTCGTATTCCTCTTAGCTTTCTCTCTGCTCAATTGAAACATAAGAATTTAGAATGTACTGATCTTTGGAGGTGTTTCAATCATTAATAGAAGTTGTATGATGCAGAAGGCAGCCATTTGGCCCATCATGCCTGTACCAGCTTTTTAAATGAGCATCATTACCTACTGTCAATCTCCTGTTTTTCCTCATACATTATTTTTATCCAAATAATCATCTAATCATGGTGGATGATAAATGCCCTTTTGAATTCCTTAATTGAAATGTGATCATTATTATGTAAGGGTTTAATTCCAGACTATATTGAATTCAATTTTCGTGATCTGCCATGGTGGGATTTGAATCCACATCCCTAGAGCCTGGAATTCTGGATTACTAGTCCAGTGGCAATATTATGGGTAAGTGGCAGTGTCATGGTCGAGGTACAAGCTGATTAGTGTCTGCAGTGATGTTCTGAGACTGAGATGCTTGATTTGAGATGATTACATTAGGTATGACTCTAACCTGCAGTACGTTCTCACTTGATTCCCATTAAGTCCAGTTTTGCTAGGGCACCTTGCTGCCATACTTGTCAAATGCTGCTTTGATTTCAAGGTCAGTTACTTCCATCTCCTCTGTTTTAGCTCATTACAGCCCTATTGCAAACATGGAGCAAATGAGGTCAAAAGCTGAGTGGTCCTGGTGGAACCAAATGAGCAGGTTATTGCTGAGCAAGTGCCACTTGATAACATTGTGAATGACTTCACTTTGCTGGATTTCCTATTGCTTATAATGGAGAAAAAATTTGAGCATACTAATTAAATGTGCAGTGCCTAATTAATATTGCTAGGTAAAAGTATAAGTGTGACTTGATCTGCTTAGCTTTTTTTCTGTTTTGAAGGTAACTTGTGTTGGTGTAGGAGACATCTGCAACAAAGGGAAGGTATGATATAATTGCATTGATGTTTTAAATTGATTGTATCTTTTGCAGAAAAGTTATTGGCAGTTTTGAGATCTACAGTTTGATTTTAGAGATGAAGATAGCTGGAGAATGCTTTCTGTCCACAAGATGAATTAAATTATGAACTTCTAAGATTAAAAACAAGAAGTGATGGAAACATGCAACAAATCGGGTATATGTTGAGTGGGAAACAGTTAACATTTCAGGTCTACTTTTCATCTGAATGTTTATTCCTAGCTAAGGTGACTTTCGCAGGAAAAATGATCTAGGAGTCTACGTATGCAAGCCTTGCATATAGTGCACTCTGAAGAGTATTGCATTTGAATGGTAGTCATCACACTTCGAGATGCCACACCTCTGAATGTAATCATAGGAAATAAAAATCAAGATTAGCATGAATATCAAAATGTAAAGAACCTAAGTGTAATCAAAAACCAAAATTTATTATGTATGTGTTACTGTTTTGTATTTTATTTTCCAAGTTTGGTTTTTCGTCATTATTGCAATAAACCCAAAATGAAGCATTACTTCCTTTGCTCAATATCTAATCACTCAATTGATTTTTAATAGTTTAATAGCCATGTAATTTTGAAATTCACTCATAATTTATCCACTATCTGATTATTAACATTTATTACTTGTGCATAAAATTCTTTTGGTTAAGAATATTAAGTTTATCAGAGTGTATGTTACCATCACTAAAATGACTGCTGCTATTCATCTGCGCAAATGCAGTTGCACCCAACACATAATGGCAACACAACATTAAATTATTAAATTAGTTGTAAGATTTTGGTAAACACAATTATAATTAGTTCGTAAATTTCTTTGTCGGAAAAGTCCCTGCTTTCAATGAAAGGTATTTTATCATGTGGACTAATACCACTGAGTTTGGTTTCAAGATCTATTGGTTGATGAGAAGGCAAAGTCAAGAACTGTCTTCAGATATAGACTTCAAGCTAGCACCATTTATGATGTATTACCAAGTATAGCAATATTTAGCATTAATAAAAGACATAACAGGCTCTGCCCTTGTCTTATTGTAGGTACGGACCCTTCTATATTCGTTGCGTTTTTATGTCCTAAATGCTCTCAAGGCACTCTCGTTCCAGAATGTAGTGTAATTTAGTTTGGTGTAATAGAAATGTCGCTTTGCAAAGAAACTTATAGATAGTTGCTGTGTTTTCCCAGATTGAGCAATTACTTTAAATTGTAATGTAAGAAATGCTTGTGGTCTGGCTACTTTTTCCTGCTTGGAATGAATTTTGAGGCAGCAGATTTGTAATATTCAGTCAGGTGCAACACTCTACCCTTTTGCGCTCATGAACAACAATGCTTCACTTAATGGTGGTATTGTCTCATAATTATATAAATAAACATATTCATTAACTTGGAACTCCTGCATTAGCTATTCCCTACACAGGAGAAGCCTGATCTTGAGTTTTATTTGGTCTCCAAATTGACTATTCACCTCTGCCTTAACTTGCTATTGTTACCCTTGTGTACTGGCATGATGTCCAACAATATGGCTATTTTGACTGGTGTATGTACTATTTGTCAGTAGTTCTCAATGGTTTATTACACATAGTTGAGAGTCAAACCCTGTCTTTTTTTTCTCACACTGAGTCTGATTGCTGGTGCTACCTCTGCCATCATTAGTGGGAGGATGTGGCAATGTGGTAATGCCATTGGACTAATAATCCAGAGGCTAATGCTGTGACACAATGGGATTGTATCTCACCATGGCAGACGGTAAAATTAGTAAAAATCAGGAATTGAGAACAAGTCCTATGGTGACCATGAAACTATTGTCAATTGTCATTAAAAATATGCCTGGTTCACTAATGCACTTTAGGGAAAAACGTCTGCTGTCCTTAACTGCTCAGGCTTACATGTGGCTCCATTGCTGTGGTTGACTCTTCACTTGGCCCAGTGAGTTACTCAGTGGTATCTAACTTTACAAAGAAAAAGACTTTGAACCAGATGGATTGTCTATGCCAACGCCAGATACTGGAAACAACAAAGGCAAACCCGGCTCTGTCAACTTTGTAAAGTCCTGCTTACCAATGTTTAAGGGCTTGTGTCAAAATTAAGTGAGCTGTGTCACAATGAGGCAAGCACCATAGTTCTACTCGGAATCATATCTAACTGGCACTGTTAAATTTACCTCATCACCCAGCTCTACCTGGTATTAAATCCACCTGCTGATCAGGCCAAAAATTTTCAACAGTGAAAATTAGCCAGAACTTTAGTTAAGTATTGCACTGTAGTTAAATGAAGCCCAGTACAATTTTTCAGTCTTCCTTTGGAAAATATTATGTTGTGTGAATTTGTAATCTGTCTGGGTTAGGCCTAGTTTTATAGATGATTAGCTGGAAAACCAGTCAAGGCAGTATAAAGGGCTGATGTTTGTGTTCAAGGGCAGGACATTTCTTGTTTTGCGTCAGGTTGGTTTGCTGAAAAACATTGACCAACTGATTGAGCTGCACACCTGAAAAATATTTCAAAATGAGAATATAAACAAACCTTTCCCTTTATTATTCAAGTCCTCTTCTGAAGTTTATTAAAATGTAGCTATCTATGCAGCAGAATACCAATCATCCTGGGAAAACAATGAGAAGAGATAAAGGTAGACTGAATGTAGCACAATACTTGGGGGTGCCAAAGTAAATATAATTGTTTTTGCATGAATTAGTTTACCGTTGAGGCACAGTTTTCATGAAATAAACCTGTGAATACAAGGACAGTAAATTTTAGGTGCTTAAAATTATGAAAGTACTGAACTGGGTAGATTTGTTTCTGGCAGCTGACTGGCCAAGTATGAAGGTCCATAGATATAGGGGGAAAAAAAAAGTGACACTCTTTACAGGAGGTGGAGATTGAAACAAATAGTATAAAGGCAGCTAAGATGAAACCAAACAAGCAAACGAAGAAGGGAATATAGAATGTTTTGAAGATGGATTTAGCTGTGAAAAGACAGGAGGAGGCTCCAGAGGAGCAGGAATACCAGTGCGGGCTGGCTGGATTGTTTGGCCTGTTTCTCTTCTGTACATCTCTTGTAAATGTCTAGTTCACAATGTATTCTTGCTAGCCTGGATGAAATGTGAGGTGAGGATGGTGGAGGGGGTGTGGGTGAGGGTAGCATGGCTGTGCAACAAAATTCACTTGCTATTATCTGCATTGCTGCCTAATCTCCAATATGTTGGGGGAAATATGTATCAGTAGTTTCTGTGCAGTAATTTAACTTAGATTTTATGGACTTAGTCTGTAATGGCTACCCCAAGTAGGCCTGACAATTACAAATGTATGTCTGCTTGTTTTGGGAACCAGTGTGTGGTGATTCTGTAATTATAGTTTATTAAAATATATTACTCATTGACAAACCTTAAAATAGTAGCATTAATACTTGTGAACTTTTTAATAGTGTATTGTTATGATAATTAACCACTGTATTTGTAAAAAGGAATATATCTTTCTTTATCATGTAGAATTTTGTTGTAGCTGTTGGTGCTGAGGGCTGGTTCCATATCTTTGATCTCAGTGGGATATCAACCAAATCAGAGACTTCCAGTCACCATGACTTCCTCTTTGGCGATGAACAGAAAGCATTTTTCACACAGCACATCCCTGCTAACACCAAAGTGATGCTCATCAGTGATATAGGTGAGTTGAAGGAATATGCAGTATGATGGGAGAACTGAGACAGGGGTGTGAAATTGGAGAGTAACAATGTGTTTGTTTGCTCAAGGTTGACACTTGAGCTTTTGATGTAAAGGAACGATATTTACCTGAAAATATGTGCAACTTATGCTGGATGTGAAACTTTTAATTATGCTATTAAATAATTTTAAAATAATTGTGTCAGACTTCAGCATGCATTTTCAAAAGTATCTTGCATCCCATAGAGCAAAAGGTATTGAGGTTTCTGATTTAATTTTGCAGTTGCATTGGTTTTTATTTATCAATCATCCTTTAGATGACTTTGCCAACTGACACTCCCTGTCCTGACACTCAGCTGTTCCTGTTGCTACATTTACATTTTGCCTCTTCTAACCCTGCCACTTTAACTTTTCTTCTCTTCCCTGCCCACCACTCCTCAATTGGCCTTACTTGCCCTCACCAGCCCTTCTCACTAACTTACTGGTCTTCTACCCTAAACTCCAGCCCAAGCACCCCACTCAACAATAACCTTCACCCTTTACTTTTTCATTGAAGCTATGTGACTAAAGTGTAGCTATCTACAAGTTATGGCATAGAATCAATCCCATGTAGTCCTCATGTGATTGATCAGAAATTACCATTCAACTCCATTCTAGTTGGGAACTGTGGGGTCACTTTATGCAGTCTTATTGTTCCAGGACGGAGATACACTGAATTCTTATTGATTATTGATTTGACGAAATATTGAGTTAATAATATTGCATGTAGTACACAATGACCCTTTATAGCTCCAGTAGATGAAATATCATTTAATACTTAAAAATAGGACGGTAATGCACATGTTTGCTCAGATGTTTATTCACAATCTTTTCATATGTTTAGTTGCTGATGTCAATGGTTTTATTTAGGGAGGAGCCATGGGATGGAAGTGAGCTACTTTGCTTAAGTCTTAGGAGAGGGGATCACTCAATCAAATTAATAAGAGCAGTGCACAGTGAAACTATCGTTTTCTAAGTCTCGACCAGAGAAGTAAAAAGATAATTTTTTAAAAAATTAACACTATCATTTTAGAATATTATTTTCAATGACTTCTTCTTGCAGATGGAGATGGAAAATGTGAAATGGTAGTAGGTTACACGGACCGTGTTGTGAGAGCATTCCGTTGGGAAGATTCCTCTGATGGTTCTGGGCAGCTGGTGCTACTAAAAAAGTGGCTTCTGGAAGGACAGGTGTGCATGTGTAAAGCTGAATGTGTTGATGATCTCATTTTACAGAAGAATGTTAAATGCTTCATGGAGAAAAAACATGATAATCCAAAAAAGATGAGTTGCAAGCAAAAGCTTAGCCAAAGAGGTAGGTTTTAATGAAGATTATAAAAAGAAAGATTTGCATAGCCCAAAATGCTTTACAGTCAGTAGAACACTTTTGAATTGCAGTCACTGTCGTAATGTAGGGGACATGGTAGCTAATTTGCAAAGAGCTAGGTCCCACAATTAGCAAAAGGAAATAGCTGAGCAACGAATGGTTTGATGAGAGAATTCCAGCCAGTTGAAGACATGATCACCAATAGAGGAGTGCAAGTAAGTGGGAAATGAATGAAAGAAAGACGAGTAAGTTCTGAGCATGGCAGACTGAAGGTTGCAAAAGTTATAAAAGTTCAAGACTGTGAAAAGATTTAAATACAATTACAAATTTGAGTAGAGTCAAAAAATGATACAGCATGGAAACAGACTCGTCAATCCAACTAGTCCATGCTGAACGTAATCCCAAACTAAACTAGTCCCACCAGCCTGCTCCTGGCCCATATCCCTCCAGCTTTTCCTATTCATATATCTATCCAAATATAATTGTACCCACATCCACCACTTCATCAAGAAGTTCATTCCACACGCAAACCACCCTCTGTGAAAGAAATTGCCTGTTATGTATTTCTTAATCTCACTATTCTCATCTTTAAAGTGCATCCCCTTGTCTTGAAATTCCCCATTTTAGGAAAAAGACAGCTACCATCAACTCTATACCCCTCATTATTTTATAAACTTCTGTCGGATCACCTCTCAATCTCATACACTCCAGTGGAAAAGAGTCCCAGCCTATCCAGCCTTTCCTAACAACTCAAACCTTCCATACCCAGCAACATGCTGGCAAATCTCTTGATAATATTCTTCCTATAACTGGGCAACCAGAACTGGACACAGTATTCCTGAAGAGGCTTCACCAATGTCTTGTTCAACCTCAACATAACATCCCAATTCCTATCCTCAAAGGACTCAGCAATGAAGGCAAGCGTGTCAAATGCCTTTTTAACCATCCTGTCTAAATGTGATGCAAACTTGAAAGAATTATGTACCTGCACCCCAGGTCCCTCTTCTACAACACTGCCCAAGGCCCTACCGTTAATTGTATAAGCCCTACCCTTGTTGTACCAAAAGGTAATACCTCACATTTATCCAGATTGCACTCCATCTGCAATTTTTCAGCCCATTGACCCATTTGATCAAGATCCCTTTGTAATCTTAGAAAACCTTCTACATCGCCTACAATGCCACCAATTTTGGTGTCATCCAAAAACTAACTAACCATGCCTTCGATATCCTCATTCAAATCACTTAAAAAAAATGACAAACAATAAAGGATCCAGAACCGATCCCTGTGTGGTTCACTAATTTAGACAGTCTTGGGTGAAATTACCTTGTGATTTGCTCTCCAAGCTGAGTGAGCAGCTGGGGAGCAATGAGGATATTGGAAAAATATGTTTGCACAGCAAGTAGTTTTACTTGATTTTTTATGATTCACATTTCGTTGCAACAGGTAGATAGTCTTACTGTGAATCCAGGGTCTGATGGGACCCCAGAACTAATGGTCTCTCAGCCAGGCTGTGGATATGCAGTTCTGCTGTGTACCTGGCGATTGGATCAAGAGAGGATACCAGAAAGAGATCCATCTGGTGTCTCTAGCAGGTAAAATTTCAAATAAAATTTATATCACTATAAGAACAATTTCAACAGTAAGTTCAATGGTGCCTTTAATCTCTTTACATGTCCATTTTACTTACAAAGTATCAAAAAAGTATTTCATGGAGAATACTTTGAAATATCAAATAGGACATCCATCAGAAGTCGAATGCTACACCAACTAATTGTTTTTTTTTTCTTATTTGTTTTGTACCCCCACCAGGATTCTTTTCTGTGCTATTTTAATCCTAGCCTTGACAAATATTTAAAACCTATCTTCAAACCTGATAAGGGCTGTAATATTATGACTACCCAGGTACCTGTAAGTTTCGAAGTGAACCTTCGGTTATCATTCCCATTTCAGAGTCACAAGGGTTGGTCTTGAGCCCCAGTCCAAGGACCCAGTATCTAGAGATCATATTTTGTTCTTCATTTATTGTCTCAAGTAATTCTAAAACCCCTCATCTCTTGACTCTGAAACTCAAGAACCATGCTTGAGACTTGAGTTAGGTGGTGCTGTAGGATAGGACACGATGGACAAAGCTTTAAGTGCCTATACACCATTAATGTGGACCTGCTGATTAAACTACTTGCTTCTGTAATTAGCCTTGCTCTCTGCACAAGACTAAGGCTATAAATATCCGTTCAAACATATTATGGGGACAGCAGGATATACTGGTAATGTTATTTGATCATATATTATATTACATTGTGTTGCTCAAGAGCCTGGTCCAATGCTAGTAATTCAGAGACCTAGGCTAATGGTTTGGAAACATGGGTTCAAATCCTACCCTTTATTCCTGATGGAATTTAAATTTAATTAATAAGCCTGGAATATAAAGGTAGTCTGAGTAACGGTAAGCATGAAGTGGTCATTGATTGTTGTAAAAGCCAACCTTGTTCACCAAAGTCCTTTTTGGAAGGAAATCTACCATCCTTACTTGACCTAGTCTGTATATGTGACTCCATACCTATGACACTGCAGTTGACTCAACTGTCCTCTGAAATAGCTGAGCATGCCAAAGTCAATTAGGGGTAGGCAACAAATGCTGACTTTGCCAGTAATGGCCAAGTTCTATGAAATAAAGAAAAAAATCCTTGAGGTTGATTATGTTGCTGCCTTGTTTTTACCAATCATTGTAGAATACAAGCTTTAATTGCAGTGGTATATGGAAGTTTCCCCAGTTGTTAGAAGAATGTTTTGGCTCTTTTAAATGTAATTTTTGTTACCTGTATGAAAAATCTTGAGCATTGTCACCACTAGGGTTATGGCCCTCAATGGCCAAGCGAATAGAGAGTAACCCAATGTACATGCATTGGAATTGATGGTAGCTGTAGAATTATACTGCACAGAGAATCAAACTGGAGTTGGCTAATTCAAGCTATTGCAGAGCACCCTGTTGATTACTAGGTTTTTTTTCTGGGATTATGTGTCATTAAAACTAGGCCATAGCCATAACCTTTTATATTTACAATGCAGCATGATATTTCATTGGTACAATACAGTCATACTGCACGGAAACAGACCCTTTGGTCCAACCAGTCCACGCCAAACATAATCCCAAACTAAACCAGTCCCACCTGCCGACTCCTGGCCCATTTCCCTCCAAACCTTTCCTATTAATCTACTTATCTAAATGTCTTTTAAATGTTATAATTGTGCCTGCATCCACGACTTCCTCAGGAATTTCATTCCACAGGAACCGCCCAAGTGTTTAAAAAAAAAAAAAATTTGCCCCTCATCTTTTTTTAAATCTCTGTCCTTTCACCTTAAAAATATGCCCCCAAGTCTTGAAATCCCTCATCCTGGGGAAAAGACACCTACCATTAAACCTATCAATACCCCTAGGATTTGATAAATTTCTATAAGGTCACCGCTTCAACCTCCTTCACTCCAGTAAAAGAATTCCCAGCCTTTCTTTATAACTTAAACATTCCATACCTGGCAACATCCTGGTAAATCTCTTCTGAACCTTCTCTAGCTTAGTGATATCCTTCCTATAACAGGGCAACTGGACCTGGATACAGTACTCCGGAAGAGATCTCACCAATGTCATGTTCAATCTCAACATGCCAAAAGACAGTCTATCAGGGAAGTAACTCAAATTGAGAGACTTTGCAGTGCTAGAACTTAGTTTGGAAAAAACATACAGTTTTTGTGGTCAGGTAGAACCATTTCCTCTGTGCATTATTTGCAACATTATGAACACATTTAAAGTCTTACCTTATGTCTTCCAGGTCTTTTGTCTCTGTTAAATGGGTGATTGTTTTGAATTAAAAATTGATCAATAAAACACATTTTAGGTTTTTTTTTGCCCTCAAGTAAACAAACATAAAAGGCTCTGTTTTCTTTGGTTGTTAATTCTAAACTGAGCAAGATCTGGCACAAGTTCTGTTCTGGATGTGAGTGTTACTGGCTGGCCAGCATTTATTGCCTGTCCCTAGTTGTTCTTGAGAAGGCGGTGGTGACCCGCCTTCTTGCAATGCTGCTGTCCATAATTTGCATAATTATTCACTGTGCCAGATAGAGGATCAGACAGACCTATTGAATACATTAGTAGGAGAAAGGAACATTACTTATCTGCAAAATATAAAAGGTTACGGAAACTAGGATTGTAATTTTATAACAGGGGACAAAAATTCAATGAGTTTTTGAGGTGCTCCAAAGTATGTTAACCTTTTTAGTAGCTTTTATTAAAACAGGGGATTAGAAGTACCAGGCAAAAAAATGAAATGAGAAATGGTAGTGGCACAAATCTGCACACGAGTGACAAAGCACCAAATTCCCTGTTACTTGTAAAAAGTTTAACGCTTTGCACCACTTAATTATATTATACCAAACATATAAGTTAGTACTCTACATGCCTACAGGGTAGGACAATCAAATTTCAGGCCAAACTAATTGTCTTGCCCTTTATTGGTGCTGTGTGCTTACTATGTTTTCTTTTAGCAGAAGACACAACATTTGACCCTAAGGTATGACTCACATCCAGAGCAGATCAGATTTTAACCCAGGCTTTCTGGCTCAGAGGTAGCAACACTACCAGTCTGCCAACATAGCCCCTTTTTCATGCAATACAGTATTGTAGGTCTTTGAAATCTACTGGTACTGCTTCTTGAGGCCCCTTTACCATCATTTCATCTGCAGATGATGTATAATTTCACTTTCCTTTCCTGATACGAGTTTATAGGTGCTGACAAAAGGACTAAAAGGACAATTCACGTGTCAGCGCCGCGCTAGTTTGGTTTTCCTCTTCTAAACACACTTGTCCAGCAAATTTTTGTTGGTGCTAGAGGCAAAATAATTATGGAAGACACCTGCCAGAAAGTCTGATGGAGCAAGGGCATGGGGTTTAACCAAAACAAAACAGATTGTGTAGAAATGGCCTGAAAATGCTTGCCATCAGCATTTGTGCCATCTAAAATGACCTTTCATCTGAAATATCCTGGATTCCAGGTTAATATGTGCTGTTTTTGAGACCTTCATCCACTCCTGTTTTTCGTGCTTGTGTTGAAAAATAAGCCTTGGACTCATGTTTGAATAGTTAATTAGTGGTGAACTGCATTAGGATTTCTTGACGAATTGATTGGTGCCGAAAAGAAAAGCTTTTTCACTTGTGAGCCCTGTACCTAATCTGACATTGAAGCAGGAATGAAAGTGGGCAAATATCAGTTGGAACTGAAGAGTCTGGGGACTAACAGTTGGTGAAGAATACATTCAGCACCTTTTATGCTATAATATTTAAATCACAGATTTTCCCTCCTCCTGCTAAAGTTTTTGTCTCCTCACTGTGCGTCTGTTATGTTGAACTGAATTTGACTTAAAATTGGCAGTGGGAGTCTGTTGAGAATCGTGAAAGTTGATCTTTACACATCACAATTTCCTCCATCCTGTGCACACAACTTGGATATCAACAGCAACTATTAAATTGCAGTAGCATTTGGAAGCCACAGCGTGTCGTCAAAGTGCTGTTACTATCATGAGTTGTTTTGGGTCGGACTGTGGCTGTCCGTGAGAAAGACAAAAAGATTGGTTTTAAAGCGTACTTTGGCTAGTGCTACTCCTGCCAGACTGGCAGGTACGGTATAAATTTGGGATTAAGTCAGGAAAGGTCTTTCATTGGGGATTAGATATGCAGTATTTTAAAAGATGTAAATGACAAAACCAGACATTTAAATGTACACGTAGAGTATATTTGTTAAAGGAGTAACTCTCAGAATATTTTGAGTGTATTGTACTGGTGTGTAGAAATAGGGGATGATTTGGTCAGTTGAATGTGTGAAATTGTCCTTTGATCTATTTCCAGTTGCCTAGAATGAAACTCCCCACAGTTGTGAAAGGGTCTAGTGGTTTTACTATTAGTTTTATTGCAGAATAAATGAATGATTTGGAAAAAAAAAGCTACTGAAGTATGTAGGATTAGGAAACAGATTTGTGTTTGTGAATTTGTATTTGTCTCCATGTGAAAATCTTGAAGTGATGAATTTTATCAGAGGAAGCTGGACAGTTCCCCAGGGGACTGATCATACAGAACTGCTTACAGTCAGGCTTGAAGAAAGACTTGTGTTTATATAGCATGTTTCACGGTTTTAGATTTAGAAAAGTGCATTATAGTCAATAAAATACTTGTGAAGTTTAGTGACTGTTGTAGGAAGAGAAGCTGAATGTCTGGAATTATCTCAGACAGACTCAAGAATTTGTAGCTGAGGGTGCAAGAGGCAAAGAAAATATATAAAAGAAAAACAGCTCAGGTATAAATATTATGAATTGTTAATGCCTGTGTATTCAGTGGACATGTTCATTTAGCTATGTACATTTTTTAGAAACCATTTGAGTCCCATTTCAGCTGAAACATTTTAGAACTGGAAAGTAGAGCTGAGTTGGAGGCTGAGGACATGGGAAGTTGGAGCATAGTAAGATGTTAGAGGAGAGTGTGAAGATAATTGAATGTAGATGGATTGAACATACGGATACTCAGCAAATCAGGGACGAGAGATTCGCAGCACTAGTGTCTATGTTAAACATTAAACAGAAGAAGAAAGAATGCCAGAGGCTTGCTAAACCACCTATGTAATTCTTATTATCAAAAGTGAAGATAAAGTCATAAAATCATTCAGCACTGCCCCTGCCTGTCAAAAACCTAACTATTCTAATCCAATTTTCCAGCACTTGGTCCATAGCTTTGTATAATGCCTTGACATCGCAAGTGCACATCTAAATGCTATTTATTATGAGGGTTTCTGCCTCTACCACCCTTACAGGCAGTGAGTTCTAGATTCCCACCACACTCTAGGTGGAAAAACATTTTCCTCACATCTCCTCTAATCCTACTGCCCTTGTGTTAATCTCTGTCCCTGTCTTTGATCCCTCCATCAAGGGGAAAATTGCCTCTGCTCTGAGGAAACCAATCCCAGTCTGTCCAATCTTTCTACATAACTGAAATTCTCCAGCCCAGGGTACGAACTGAATCCTGGGAAATCTCCCTGCAGTGGTTGTCACAAGGTCAGCCAGCTGGATAGCATAAAATGAGTTCCCTCATTGGGGCTGTTTATCTGGTCCAGTCAGGAGACTTGGCTGAAATCAATTAAATGCAGATGGGTATGCCAGGGTATTGGGACTAAATGCCTGTCTCAGTGAAAGGCATGCTCTTGTCAAAGGCTATGTATTTGTGAATAAAGGGTGATTGGAGATGGGATGCTGGCCTCTGAAGAGTTATTTCAGTAAATGAGAGTAAAGCATGATTCTGAAGAAACTTGCTTGCAACAATTGTTTTGAAGTTGGGAGTAAGTATTTTCTTGCATCATGCCTCTGGTTGGGAAGCTTGACTCGTTTGACCCTGCTGTCGAGGACAAGGCCCAGTGTGTGGAAGTGATGCGTTATTTCTCTGAGCAAACAACATTGTGACAGTTTTTTAAAAAATGAGTAATTCTCCTGACGGCCTGTGGAACTGTAGCTTTCCTTTCATCAGAGTTTCCTGAGGTACCAGATACTGAAACCTTTCAAGAATTGATTGACTTAGTTAAGGAATATTATGAACCCAAGCCCCTGTTAATGCTGAGATGCTAATGCTTTTTCTTGGCAATTTGAGAATTAGGGGTTTTTGACTAGGTTAAGATGACTGGCAGAAGACTGTGAATTCGGTTTAACCTTTAATGAGATGCTTAGAGACCATCTAGTATGCAGGATTACTGATGTAAGCGTGCAAAAATGCCTACTGGCTGAAGCTCAACTGGACTTAAAACAAACGCTACAACTGGCTTTATCACTGGAAATGCAGCAAGTAGAGCACGTGAGTTGCAAGGTATTCCAGTGGAAGTGGACACTTTCACCAGTCTGCCTGAGCTTGGAGAATACCATTTGAGTGCCAGCAACTGCATAGCCTCATTCAGGAAATATCCTGATAAGAATAACTCTAGGTTGGCCCACAGCAAAACCCAAAACCAAGCCAAGTCTCTATCAAACAGTTACAATTTTCCTTAACGCCCGGTAAGACGTGGCAATTGTTGCTGATATGCGGATTTAGGAAGCGACAAAGCCCTAATACACTTGTTACCTTACTCCATTTGTAGACCAATATCCAGGATGGTGACCAGGGGAGTTCATACACTGCAAACGCCACCTTCTTCTGGTTTGGAGCAGTTAAATTGCTTAGCAACATCCAAATCAGAATCAATCAAGATAAACATCTTGTTAAATATCAGAGGAGCCAAAGCAACTTTGTATGTTGACCAGGAAGCAATTCCACGATTCTGCAAAGCTTGTCCAGTGCCATTTGCCTTAAGGGCAAAAGTAGAAGCAGAAGTTAGACTGGAAAGTGAAGGAATCATCAAACCAGTCCAATTCACAGAATGCACACCAGTCATATCAATTTTGAAGCCCAATGGATCAGTTCGCCTTTGAAGGGATTTTGAACAAATAGTAAATTTTTTCTCGCAGAGGATTTGTACGCAAAGCTAGCAGGAGGTTTGTGCTTCGTGAAAATTCACATGAGCCACCCTTACTTGCAATTGCATTTAGACCAGGGTTCTCAGAAGTATACTACAATTAATACCTATACGAGCTTGTACTAATATATGAGACTGCCATTCAGCGTATCGTCAGCCTCTTCAGTGGATGACGGAGAACATTTTGCAAGATTTGCCTCAGGTCACCATTTACTTAAATGTCAATATAAATTTGCCTAGCTGCAGATTCCCTCCTATAATGTGGATTCCAGGACTGCACACTGTACAGTATCTGAGGCTCAAGCAATGTTTTATCCAGCATAACCACCTTACTATTAAACTCTATGACTTGACTATTGAAGGCAAATATCCCATATGCCCTCTTAATCACTCCTAAGGGACTGGTGGACAAGCAGACGAAGGTCGCCTTGCTCCTTCCTGTGCTTAACAGGTCCTGTCATTCATCATGTATTCCCTTGCCTTGTTCATCCTGCCCAAGTACATTACCTGCCATTTATCCAGATTGAATTCCATTTGCCACTGATCATTCCACCTATATCCTCTTGTAGTCCAAGGTTATCCTCCTCACTATTTACCACCCTACCAATTTTTGTATCATCTGTGAACTGTTAACTTTCCTGCTCTCAAGTAAAAATCATTTATATAACCACAAACATCAAGGGGCCCAACACTGATTCCTTTCGGACCCCACTGGACAAAGACTTTGAATCAGAAAACCATCCTTCAAACATCACCCTCTAGCTCCTGCTTCTCAGTCAATGTGGATCCAATTTGCCAAATTCCCTTGTAACCCTTGGGCTCTTACCTTTGCAGGACCTTAGCAAAAGCCTTGCTCAAGTCCAAGTGGACTAAATCAAAAGGATTGTCCTTGTCGACACGCCTGGTCCCCTCCTGAAAAAATTCAGTCTAGATGGTCAAATATGACCTCTCCTTAACAAAACCGTGTTGATTGTTCTTGATTAATCTCTGCTTCTCCAAATGCAAAATAGTTCTGTCTCTCAGAATTGCTTCCCATAGTTGTCTTACTATCGAGCTAATCCATAGAGATGTAGGCCGGTTAACCTAATATCAATTAAAAAGTGGAATACTGCAGATGTTGGCAACCTGAAATAAAACAAAATCCTGGGAAAAGCTCTGCAGGTCAAATAGTGTCTGTGGAGAGAGAGAAACAGACAATGTTGTGGACTTTCAATTTTTTTCCATTATTTCACGATTTTATTTTGGCTTCATATCAGTGTTTGAAAATACTCTTGCATTTTTGTTGAAGGATGAGAAAGCAAAATACCAAACAACAGAATATAACTCTAAAATGATCAGCACAAATTTTGAAAAGGCTGGCCATGTTAAACCATTCTTAGTGTTTTCTTTGAAAAGAAAACCGTATACAAGGGTAGTACAGTGAGTATGATATGTGTGGACTTTCAGAAGGCCTTTGAAAGAATTTCATGATAAATTTTTGTACCTGAAGTTGGGAATGGGCAGATACTGAATGGCTTGAAAGATGGCTACATAATAAGAAATGTAATGTAGGAGTTAAGAGAAGTTTTCCACAGAGAAAATAGCTAATAATGGGGTGGAACTTTCCCAAAACGCAAAGACATAACTGGCTTACCTGAGGAGGAGAACAAACAGCAACTGAAATTCAATATAGCACAGTTTGAGAGGGTTCATTTTGCTAGAAGAATAAGGAGATCACTTATCCTTTGGAAGGTGCAGAGGCATCTAGGTGTTCTAGTGCATGAATCACACAAAGGTAGTTTGCAGATGCAGCTAGTCATTAAGAAGGCTAATGCAGTACTGTTCTTTATTACCAGAGGAACTGAACATAAAGTAAGGAAGTTACGCTTCTTTATATGAGGCATTGGTGAGGCTACATTTCAAATACTGTGTTGTTTTGGTGTCCTTATTTAAGGAAGGATGTAAATGCAGGTCATTCAGAGGAAGTTCACTCGGTTAATACCTGGAGTGAATGGGTGGTCCTTTGAGGTACAGTTAGACAGGCTGGGCTAGTTTTCACTGGAGTTTAGAAGTATGAGAGGTGAATGATTTTCACAAGGTAGACATAGGATGTTTCCTTTTGTAGGTGAGCACAGAACTCGAGGACATTTTTGAATTCAGGCTTCATTCTTTTCAGACAGAGATGAGGGGATTTTTTTTCCCTCGGAGGGTTGTGTGAATTTGGATCGTTTTGATTCAGAAGGCAGTGAAAGATGGGTCATGGAATATTTTTAAGACATAGGTAGACTTTTTTGTTTCAACAATGGGGCCTGGTGATCGTCTTGATATAAGTATAGAATAATAAGTTTTAGGAATTTACTGGACAATTGGACATACTTCATCTAAGTCTAAACCTTTCTCTACCTAATGTGTGTGCATCGTAAAAGAAGCTTTAATGGTGATCAGAAATAGGAACTTAGTTGATTTCTCTTCCTTGTCCAGTAGTACAGAAGCTAGTGTTACTGTTTCATCTCTCTTGGCTTCCGTTATTCAGAGCAGCTTGAGAATTGAAGTTTAACTTTCTTTTGACAATGTGGCTCAGCTACTTACTTACGTAACTATGGAAAGACATCCTGTTCTTTGATTTAAAAAGTTAGCTCTAGCATACCTTTAACTTTGATACTCTGAGACTGTTCAAATTTTGTTATCTCTAATAAGACTGGTGCCTGATTGAAGGACGAGTGGATGCTGTTGATATTGGAAAATTAAAATATTACATGTAGCAAATATTGTTTTAAGTGTGCATAAATACATAAAGTGCTAATTTCCTCTTTTTGGCAACATTGCTTTTTCCAGAACCTTGTTTATATGATTAATTCTCTTTTCAGCTCCCACATTTTCTCTTTTCCTTCTCTGTAGTGAGGGTCTCATTCGGGATGTTGTCCTTCACCAGACTTCGGGCAGAATTCACAATAAAAATGTTTCCACTCATTTAATTGGTAGCATCAACAGAGGTATGTGCATCTATCCTTGAATGCCTTCATCAGTAATTGAGCTAAAATTGTAATGAAGAGATTCCAAGTTAACTTATCTTCTAATTTGTGCAGTTATTGTACAGCTATTAGCACAGTCATCCACTTCATTGGAATGAAAGAAATAGGCAAAATTATGGTAAAATGTCAACCACTGTAAAATTAAATGGCAGAGTAGATGGAAAGGTTGAATGTCTGACTGTGGTTCCTATTCCTTAAGTTCTTCATAAATCTTGAGTAGTAATGAATGATCTTTTGGACAGGCAAATGACCACCTTTTATCTGTATGGCGTCTATAATATGGATGGAATGCTTTGATTTGAAGTTAGCACATTTTATATTAATTGACTTCATACTTTTAGTGAGTTCAGGCATGTGATTTATATAAAGATACTAAAACCTTGTGACAATATAAAGTGACAAGACATACCTTTTGAGAAAGATGTTGTTTGGTATGCTGTAACTGGTGTACTCTCACAGTTATGCAAATCCAAAAATTTAGCAGCTATTTAACCCTAAAATTTCCAAAAATGTGCTATGATTTTAAGCATGATCTCTGAAATTTATGAAAAATTCTTCAAATAATCATATCCATGCAACTTTATTGAATGTGTCTGGAGAGTGAGTTATTGGAATCAAATAGAAGGTTAGAGCAGCATTCTAAATTACTAGAGAGGTTTTGAGCATTTTGTAATAGTTATTTGAATCACTTTTACATAGAGGCTGCTTTGTCTTGATTGTTACCAAAATCCTCAGGCTGTCACATTGCTGCATAATAATGAAATTAATTATTGCAATCATCATGTTTTGCAGGTAAATAGCTCAACCAGTTTTGCTTCAACAATGTCCTCTATCAGCAATTGAAAAAGGGCCAGTTAATCTATTTTACTTGGGCTAGTTTTAGGATGAAAATCTGTATTTTGGAAGAAATCTTTGCTTTGCTTCAATTTGTGCTGTTGAACCATTTACCATAATTTGAACATAAACCTGAACACCTCATGTAATGTCTATTTTGAAAAATGACACTTTGAACAAGAGTGCTCCTTAAATTTATTTTGTCATATTGAGCATGGTGCTCAGAAGAGTAGACAAAGTGCAAAGCAGGGCAAGATACTTTAAGAAAAGAGTGGAATTGAAATATTTAACATGGGCAACTGCTGGCTTGTTATCTGATATAATGGTTTTACAGAAATATGAAGCCAACAAGGTAAGAAGATGGGTCAGGATTATTGATTTGTGAATGGGTGATGTAAATTGTCAAAGATATATTTAACGCTTATTGTGTTGTTTAAGATTGAATTGTGCAAAACAGCATCCACTTGATTTGACTTCATATTTCAAAACTAGTTATATTCTGGGAGTAGTATTGATTTATTTATTGTTTCATGTACTTGTTGCATGTATTTGTAACAAACACAGTGAAATGTGTGGTATAATGTTGCCACTCTCAGGCGCCATCTTAGAAACACAGACAAAAGAGCCAAGACATAGAATATAAAGGTAAAAAATAAAAACAAAAATTATAAGTGCAACATTACAGTCCTTCTTGTTAAGTGCTTTAATATGTGCATTATTGGGCAAGCAATGTAGTTGGAACGGATCTTATAATTCAGGGAATTAAGTCCTGCAACTATCAGGGTGTGGAAATTTTGGCTTTTACTACTTGGCTATTCTCATTAACTCCGATCTTATATGAACTATACTGAAGTGATATGCACTTTAGGAAATATTTATGTGAATTAATAGATCTTCCACAGCTCTGCTCATGAACAGTCTGCAGTTTGGAGTGCTATTGTGATATTTGCCTGCCAACAAGCTGTTGCTATATTTAAAATACTTTGGACAATCATGTATACAGGTGTATTATTTTTGATCTGAATCATTTCCTGGGTAAGGTTCAGAAAGGAAAATAAATTGTGAAGAATCACACTGAAGAAATCCTCCCCGCTTCTTTTCAAATTAATGAACAAGAAAGCTAGCAGACACTATAGAAGACATGTAACGTGCCCCTACTGGATTTATGCTGAAGTTTCATTCTGTTGAGGAGTAGATCAATGATGTCACTCAATGTTTAACAATATTATTTCTTTCTAAGTAATGATGGATATCCTAAAGAGGGTATAAGTTCAAGAAGACAAAAGGAACTGTCTTCAATTGAAGATTTCATAAATCTTTATTTGTTAAGTCCTGAAGCAGGTAAATCCAATTGGATTTTAAATCTACTCCGTAACGAATCAATTCACGTGATATAATGTGGATAGTTGGTTAATTACTTTAATAGGTTTGCATGCTTTAACATGAACTTTGATATAGTTACGAGCTAACTTCAGTGTTACTAACTTTAGTAGTCTTAAAATAAACCAACAGATTATCTGCAGAGGGAAAAGTATCCAGACTGAGTAATGGTTGTACTTTTGACTTGGTTGTGTGTAGTAGCAATGTTTAGCAGAAACAAATCTTTTAAAACACCTTTTTTTATTTTATCATTTGGATGTGTACATTGCTGGCTAGGCCATTATTTATTGTTGACGCTTAATTACCATTGAAAGAATGGTGGAAAGCCACCTTCTTGAACCACTACAGCACTCTGGGGTTAGGTAAACCCAAAGTGCTATCCAAGAGGGAGTTCCATAATTTTGTCCCAGTAACAGTGAAGGAATAAAGATATGGTTGTGAGTCAGGAAGTTATGTTGCTTAGTGGTGTTGTTGCCATGTATTGGCTGGACTTGTCCTTCCTGGTGGTAGAGTTCATGAGTTTGGAATGAATTGTTTAAGGAGCCTTGAAGAGTTGTTGCCATGCATCTTATAGGTGGTACACAATGCAACCAATGTATGTTAGCGGTTGGGGGAGTGAATGTTGAAGCTGTTAGATAGGGTGCCAATCAAATAGCTGCTTTGTCCAGGATAGTGTCAAGCCTTTTGAGCTACACTCAGTTTGTCAAGTGGCGAATATTCTATCACACTCCTGACTTGTGTCTTGTGGATGGTAAACTTGCTTTGGGGTGTTGGTAGTTGACTGTGACTTGCTGTTATAGCCACAGCATTTGTCTGGTGGGTCCAATTCGGTTTATGATCAATGGTAACCCCTTAGATGTTGAGAGTTAGGGAGTTAGCAATGGTAATGCCACTGAATGCCAAGAGAAGATGGTTGAATTCTCCCTGGTTGGAGATGGACATTGCCTGCCACATACATGGCACTTATCAACTTGAGCCTGGACAAGAGCCTGTTGCTTTTCGGTGCAAATTGCTTCAGTATCTTAGTAATCATGCTTCAGCATCTTAGGTCCTGAACATTATGCAATCAGTAAACATTCCCTGGTATGATAAATGGCAGTGGGTGCTGGATGAGTTGTTAATTTTAAATCTGAGATAGATAAACTTTTGTTAAGCAAGGTGTTAGGGATATGGGCCAAAGGCAGCTATATGAAGTTAGGAGTTTGGAGCCACAGATCAACCATGATTTCATTGAATGGAAGAACAGGCTTGAAGGGCTGAATGATCTATAGCTGTTCCTATGTTCCTTACTTTTGTATATTACTATTCCACCATCTTTGGTGGGTTTGCTTTGTCAGTGGGACAGAAGATACCTAGGAATAATGGTGATAGCGTCTGGGGCATGGTCTTTCTCTTGGAATCATAATTTCCAGATGATATCAAGCTGTTGCTTGAATTGTGGGAGAACTCTCCCAATTTTGTTACAGGCTCCCAGATATTAGCAAGAAGGACTTTTGAAGGTCAATAGAGGTGTATGTGCCTTTACTATTTCTGATGCCTTCATAAGTGCCATATGAGCCATTCAGTTTCATTCCCCTTACCAGACTTTGTACTAGTTAGGTACAACAGAGTGGCTTGCTATTGTAATCAAATATTCAATGTAAACAAATAAAAAATCATTTTCTATTTTTTTCACAGGGTCCAGTGATGATTCATCCAAGTCTGGCTTGTTTGCTCTTTGCACATTGGATGGTAAGGACTTGTAATTATTTCTAAGCTAAACAGTTAACGGTTTTTGGGTTCAACAAAGTATATAGCTATTCAGCCATAACCAAATAAAATGTAATTTAAATTTACATGATAAATTATTGTTGCGTTCCAGAAAACCTGTTGGTCTAGGACAGAACTGGAGCTAATTTATTTATGCAGTTACATAGTACAAGCATGCATCTCATAACAACTAGATGTCCCAAAACATCTTACAACCATTTAAGTATTCTGCAGTCCAGTCACTGTTGCAATATAGGAAACATGGCAGCAATCAACGCACAGAAAACTTCCACAAATATAGTTTTAATCTGTATTAATTTACAGGGCTCAAGTGAACTCTTAGTTAATGCCCATACCTGCCTATGATTACTATACAATTAATAGAATCTCTTCCCTCTCTCTAAAATGTAGATTTCATGTGCACCACCAAATTTTGAAACAAATTAAGTCAAAAACTTCCATATTACATATTGGCATGCTTAACAGATTTTCATACGTGCTTTATTTTAAAGCAATAAATTGATTTGCAATGATCCTTTTAAGAGATTTTATTTTTTCTCCTGTACTTGTTTCAAATCAGCAAGGTCAATCGTTACATTTTCTCACTCCTCTTTTCTAAGAGATTGCATTATTCTACAATGAATGGAATGTAGATAACTATTCAATGTGTCTACTATCTTCAGGATGCCTTTGTACAGTGTTTCACTTAATGGATATTTCCATAAGAGCTGGTATTTCAGCAGCTAAAGTACTTTAAATGTATTCTTTATGTTTTCTTCACTTTACAAGCTAAAGGACAGCTTTTCCCATTTTACCCATGAGAAATAAATTGAAAGCAGCTGCCCTAGAGAACCCATCAATACTAAAAATGTCTAATTTCAATTTCTTTGGGCCACCTAAAGATGGGAACACGAGCACATATTTTCTCCAGATTGAATTCTTTAAAATGTTTTAGTTTTCCTTTTATTTTCTACTTTAGTGTATTTATTTTAACGTTAACTCCAAATACATCAAGACTAGTAACCGGTCTGAGTCTCCAGGTAATACAGAGGATCAATTAAGTTTCACAAAAGTTCTATCACCTTTAGATGTGGCATCAGCTTTGTAGTATGCTAGTATGATTAACCAGGATGAGAGTAACACTTTCTAAATAGGATGGTTGATTTCAAATTGTTCTGGATACACTTAAAATTTGAACTAATGTGCTTAAAAGCTCAACATACCTGATGCCTGATTTTAAACTCTTCTGAGTTTAGCAATAACATATTTCTGAAAATTGGCAGTACTACTCCCATAGGAAATCATCACCATGTATAATGGAGACATCTGTAGGTTTTTCTTTAAGACCTTTTATGACGTTTATCAGTTTCATAAAAATACATTATTTGGTCATTGCATAGCTTTTTGTAGAAGTTTTCCATGCGTTGATTTGCTGCCATGTTTCCTATATTGCAACAGTGACTGGACTTCAGAATACTTAAATGGTTGTAAAATGTTTTGGGACATCTAGTTGTTATAAAAAGTACTGTGTAAAAGCAAATTTGAGGTTCTATAAAATGTTCAATAAAACCTTAGATAGCTTTTTGTTTTTGACAAGAAATCAAGGATTTTTGGGAGCTGATGTGAAATTGGAGTTAAGGCCATAATCAGATCAGTTTTGCTGATTGAGTATCAGAGCAGGCTTGATAAGCTGAATATCCTAGTCATGTTCCTTAGTTTTTTGTGTTCTTGATTTTTAGTTTAACGTAACCTAGTCTTAGCAAAACTGGTCTCACTTAAAAATACCACATCCTGGAAATATCATTCAGACCATAAATACCCTCTTTGTTAAAATTCCAAAGTTCTTCTGCTGCCCCTTTAGGCCAGAAACACTTCTCTTCTGTCTCTCTTATGTTGATCGATCTACATTTTAATGACTATGTAGTCAAAGAGCAAAAATGATTTTTGAGATTACTTTTCCAGCTGTGGAGAGTTGTCTTAACATCTATATCACCCACTACATGGATATCTTCTGTGCAAATCCAGTGATGGTAGCAAAACTGATTGTTCCTTCTCTGGCACTTCAGAATTAACCCCAAACTTTCCAATTATCAAATTCTCTTTGTTTTGCCTCCCTTAACAGTTTATTCTTACATTTAGTAGTAGTCACCAAAATGTCACAAGCATGAGGATATGCACTTCTGTTTCCATTGTGAGACTGTACTCTGGAAAATCACTGTGTAATTTATTCATGGCCATGAACTTAGGGGGAACATTGCCACCAGAGCTGTTTAAAGGGTTCATATACTACTTGCACATTAATTGCTTGTTGATTTCTTTGGCTTTTGCTATTATTTTACAACTATTTGGTGCTTTCTAGACTTGCCTAAGACCGAAGAAGTCTTGAGAACTTGATGTGACAAGTGCTGAGGGTGTCTGTTGATGATATTGATTAGAAATGGGGACCAACATGCTTGTCTTGCCAGCAGTGCTTGCATCTCGTAAAAGAATGAAAAAGACTTCTACGTAAACCTATGGGCACATTAGTAGGCATTCCTCTTATAGTACTGCATGAATTGAAGAATGATCGAAGGCCACACAGCAGGGCAAATTGCTGAAAAAGATGGATAGACATTCAACAGGTGGCCATATCAAGGCTTTTCAGGAAACAATTCTTCCAGCCAACCTTCAACAAGGAGCAATATGTGAGATGTCTGCTCTTTGGTAAGTATGATTTCACTGAAATCTACCAACCAACTCGGAGCTGGACAAGCACTGCCTTACAAGTGGATGTGATGGTGATTATGGTGATAAACCTTTTTATATGTCTGGCTCGTTGCAGCCTGAAACTAGAGATATTTGTAACATCCATTGCTAAAGGGAGGGCACTGAGGCTCTCTTTTGAGTGACAGCAAAGCAGATGGAGTGCACATGTGGACTTACTAGGGTGTTAGGCATCTCCACAGTGCCAGATGCCATTGACTATAGGCACATCACTTTCTGGCAATTGCAAGTAAACCCTGCTTCGCATCAGAGCTGGTGCCTAATCATAGGCGGCAAATCATCCAGGCATCCATCCTGGCAACATCCTACTTTTGTTCTGCAAAAGTCCACTCTCGGTTTCAATTAAACTGCCAGGGCAAACCAAATGACACCTATCTGCTGACAGCATGACTGACAAGTCCCAGATGCATCATGCAGAGAATGAAAACTGCTGCCACATGAAGTACAATATTGCAGACCATGGGTGCTAAAACAACTTCTGCCTGGACTGAATGGGAGATGTTTGGATTGGAACGTCAGAACAGGAGTAGGCCGTTCAATCCGTCAAGCCTGCCATACCATTCAATATCATCATGGCTGATCGAACTCTTCACTACCTTTTAACCCACCCCAATCCCCATATCACTGTATACCACTGGTAATTGGAAATCTATCAAACTCTACCTTACGAATGCTCAAAAGGCTGTGCCTGTAAAGCCATCCATGGTTATGAATTCCAAGGATTCACAATCCTCTGAGTTTTTTAAAAATCTCCTCATCTCTGACCTAAATGGCATCCCTCTTATTTTTAAAATATGCTGCCTGGTTCTAAACTCCCCAACCAGGGGCAACATCTTACTTGCAAATACCCTGTTTATCCCTTTTAAGTATTTTATAGGTTTGAATGAGATCACTTATTTATTGGGATAAGGAGGACATTTCAGAATGGCAACGTGTAACAAGTGGAGTACCACAGGGTTCAGTACTTTGGCCACAATTAGTTACAATATGTATTATGACTTGGAGGAAGTTTGTCTAGTATGTTTGCGATGACACACAAAAATAGGTGGGAAGGCAAGTGGTGAGAGTTTGCTCAGAAGGATACGAACAAGCGAAGTGAATGGGCAAAACTTGGCAGGTAGGATATAGTCATAGAGTCATACAGCACAGAAACAGGCCCTTAAGTCCAACTCGTCCATGCTAACCTATTTTCTAAACTGAACTAGTCCCATTTGCCTGTATTTGGCCCATATCTGTCTAAACCTTTCCTATCCATGTGCCTGTCCAAATGGCTTTTAAATGTTGTGATTGTATCCACCTCTGCCACTTACTCTGGCAGCTCATTCCATATATGTACCACCTTCTGTATGGAAAAAGTTGCCTCTCAGGTCACTTTTTTTAAATTTTTCCCCTCTCAACTTAAACCTATCCCCTCTAGTTTTGGGCTCCCTTACCATGGGGAAAATACCTTGGCTATTCACCTTATATATGCTACTAATGATTTTATAAACTGCAAGAAGAATAGAGGACCTGGATATTCCGTGAATGGAGAAAGACTGCAAAAAGCTGCAACATAGAGTGATTAGAAAACTTTCATGTATAAATCGCAAAAAGCTAAGATCCAAGTTCAGCAGGTAATAGGGAAGGCAAATGGAATGTTGTACTTTATTTTATAAGGAATGAAGTATAAAAATAGGGATGCCTTGCTAAAACTATGTAAGGTATTAGTTGGACCACACCCTGAATACTGTCAACAGTTTTGACCCCTTTAACTAAGGGAAGACATAGTGACATTGGCAGCAATCCAGAGAAGGTCCTTGATTGCTTGGAGGAATTTTCTTGAGGAGAGTTTGAATGCATTGGGACTGTACTTGTTGGAAATTAGAAGAATGAGATGCAACCTTATTGAAACAAAGAAGATTCTCAAGGGATTTGACCCAGTTGATTTGGAGAAGTTTCTCCCCTTGTGGTACAGTCGAGGACCAGAGGGCATAATTTCAGTGTAAGTAGCTGCTCAGTTAAAACAGATGAGGAATTTTGTGTCTGAGGGTAGTGAGTTTGTGGAACTCTTTACCATTGAGTCTGTCTAATTCAGTATATTCAAGGGTGAGATAGACAGAGATTTTTAATCAGAGGGATTCAAGGGTTATGGGGAAAAGGCAGAAAAGTGGAGCTGAGGGCTATTAGATCAGCTTTGATCTCATCGATTGACAGAGTAGAGTTGATGGGTCAAATGGCCT